ATTGGATAATAGGAACAAACAGCGTTTTATAGGTACAAAAATAGAATTCAAAACAAATCTCAACTCAATATTTGAGACATTAAAACTCAAATCGCATTGCACATCCGATTCCAGAAGCCCTTAAGCTAAAATGGATCCAACTATTAACTGGAGCATCGTTGAACAAAGGATACATCAAAGTATGACACGTCTTTGTTTCAAGTCAGTTTTCTGTACTACGTCCAACTTGGTGTACCCCTCTCCGAACTGCACAGCATTTCGTTGTCTCCCTCACTCTGCATAATTGGTGCTACTTTTGTCCCTCTCTGTTGAGAGGTTGCTTTAAAGGGATAAGCTATGATACTCCCTATACTTCAAAAGTTGTAGGCCTGCAAACTGGAACGCATTTGCCAATTGAAATCGTATGTTTGTACGTATTTTTTATGTTGATATGAACGTGACTGGTTTTTACCGACTTCAAAAAAAGGAGGAGGTACTATGTTCGGCTGATTGTTTTTTTTTTTTTTTTTTTTTTGTTTGTTCGCGCAGTACTCCGCCGTTTGTGGACCGATTTCAAAAATTTTTGTTTTGTTTGAAAGGGTAGACTCCCGAGATGGTCCCATTTCCATGAAATCAGGATCTGATGATGGGATCCTAGGGAAACCGAGGGGAACTTTCGAAAATTCTATGGGGGAGTAATGCGTCTATTATGTTTTCCAATTAAGAATTTTAAACACTACAATTAGATAAGGGTCTGGAGTCGACCTGATGATGGAGTCGACAGACAGTCGAGGGAACTCCTCAGCGGTTTATATTAACTACCTTGTGTTTGGGCTTGATTAATTTGTAATGATGAGGACTTTACACCTAGATAGAGTGGAGCTGTCATTGAGGGTCTGATGATGAAGAAGTGTAATTGTTAAGGGAACTCCTCAACAGTATACAGTAACTACCTTGAGTTTGGGCTTGATTAATTTGTATTGATGAGGACTTTACACCTAGATAGAGTGGGGCTGTCATTAAGGGTCTGATGATGAAAAAGTGTAATTGTTAAGGGAACTCCTCAACGGTATACAGTAACTACCTTGAGTTTGGGCTTGATTAATTTGTATTAATGAGGACTTTACACCTAAATAGAGTGGGGCTTGGCATTAGGGTCTGATGATGAAGAAGTGTAATTGTTAAGGGAACTCCTCAACGGTATACTGTAACTACCTTGTGTTTGAGCTTGTACAATTTGTATTGATTAGAACTTTGCACCTATGTATATTATAAGTAACAAGACGGGTATATGTAGCTTTACACTGAAAATGGTAAAATAATAAAATAAAAACTGCGTTTAAAAAACCGACTTCAAAAACCAAAAACTAATAACAAACAAAAAGTCAAAACCAAAAAGCAAAAAATAACTAATATTAGTACTGATAGGTTACCCACCCACTGATAGGTTAGAAGTCGGTGCCATAAGCTCATATCATAATGATATAACTTAATGTCCACAAAATTGTAAATTAGGTACCTATTAAGGTTTTAATGAATAATTTTGTATGGAACTTATGGCACCGACTTCTTACCTATCAGTGGGTGGGTAACCTATCAGTACTAATATTAGTTATTTTTTGCTTTTTGGTTTTGACTTTTTGTTTGTTATTAGTTTTTGGTTTTTGAAGTCGGTTTTTTATGTTTCCTTTGTTGAATAAGCTCGCGCTGTAGTTAGAAATCAGATGTAAAAGTTATTCTTTCATCTTATATTGTTACTGTTATTTTAAGGTGGTAAAAATGTACTACAGTGATGCAAAGACTTTTCATACAAAGGGACTGAACATAGCTGGACATCACATAGTCCTTTTAAAAAAGTTCAGTTATCTCCAACTCGGCATAAACGAAAAACTCCATAATCCAAATAATCTCATTAGGTACATTCTTGACCTCAAAAGCCACTCGGCAACGCAAAATCACCATGGACTCCGAAATTGCGAAAAAGATGTTAATCCAGTGCTAAATAAAGGTATTTTGGACCTTATCCACCTATATCGAATGACTAATCTTAATGCTTTAAGTGGGGAATCCCGGGGCGACGGCGACGGGTCACCCCTCTATAACCACAAATAAGGGGGCTCAAAACACACAGTCAGGAGAAATTGGGGACCATTCACTTCGCAAGCTGATGGTAATGAATTAAAATATTCAGGTGTACTTTTTACACACGACTTTATAACTTTGTAACAAAGTTGATAATTGATTACCTAAAGAATGGAGAAGGTTGATGTGCCATCTGTCTATAGAACAGTTTATTTAAAAAATAATTGTTTACGTTGGTATGATAATTTTCCGCAACGCATGTAAGCTTTACATAAAAATTGTTAAATTTACGCTTCATTAGGTATGAACAAATAAATACTAATTCCTTGAATTTAACAGTTTTGTCAGTTTTATTCTTTTACCCATACTCCATTGGCTCCACTTTTCAATAAACTATGGCTTAGATTCGAATCCGATTCGGTAAATCAACTAGCTTCCGTATTGGCGAACGATTTGTAATCCAGCTAAAGTTTCGGCTATCAATAAATATTACTGTCGTAGTTTAACGAAGCCTACATACAATTTATACGGTAATAAAACGTTGGTTTATACGAAAAACTAGTCAGAATATAGGAGCTGTTTTACATCGCGTCGCTACTTATGTAAAAATTGTTTAGCCGATAATATAGGTAGATCATGCTTTACAATGGCTAATATTGCACTTTTAATAACTGAAGACGATGATGAGAAATGATTTAAGAAACCACGGAATGAAACTTTGCTCTTAAAGTAGATATATTTTATTTCTATTCATTCTTTGACTATACTTAACTGCAATAAACAACAGCTATGACAACAACGTCCCCTAAAAATGCATTGAAATCCATTTAAAAATGAACTTCTTTTTTGTTAAACTTCAACTGAGTAGTATTTTTCTCAATAAAAGCACGGCTCAGCTTTAGTCAGAACACTAAACATTATTCTTTGAACGACCACAAAACGGCGACGCAAACTAAACCCTCTTAAGCGAGGCACAGGGTTTTATATTTTCGTAACATCTGTACACAGAACATGTTTCGAACCAAAAAAGGATTTATTACAACTACAATAAAACTTATTTCGGAAAGAGGGTCATTAAAAACGCATCTATCACGAGATTGACGGCTAACGAGGAAGTTTTTGGACTTGTACAGTATGTAGGTCTGTAGGTACGTAGCTAATCGTGATTCTGATGTAATGGCCTGTAAGTTCTGCCCGTCATTCTTAATTTTATGGTCGGCTATTTAGGGCAATTGTGGATGTAATTTTAAAATTATACTTCATATTTCCAAGGGTTAATGATTGGTAGCTTTGGAGTAGGGTAACAGAATCCGAATTATATGTATGTATTTTAGAACCTTGAATTCGGTGTCACTAATATAAATAATTACATTTTACCAAAGTGTATCCTGGTAACTATATTTTTTTACCATTTACATAACATAACATCACGCCTTATATCCCCGAAAAGGTAGGCAGAGGTGCACATTACGGCACTTAATGCCACTGTACAATGTAACACCCACTTTTCACTATTTATGTTATGAGTCCCATGTAATAGGCGGTGAGCCTATTGCCATATACCGGGCACATTTCCAGACTCCGTGCTACTGCTAATGTTTTTATAAACCCAGTAATACTTTGCCCGACTCGGGAATCGAACCCGAAACGCCTTGCCCGGCAATTGCACTTGCGACCACTCGGCCAATGAGGCAGTCACTGCAGTTCATTTCTTGATAAACATTCAATACTGTTTTGTAGCAAAGATTAATAAAAAAAAAACCTATAGATATGTCCAAAAAAAGCATAAAAGCATAAGTTACGTAAAATAAAAATGTTACTATTACACTACATAAATTACTGCGAGCAGTTTTCACACTTTTGTTTTCCCAAGGAAAAACACATTCATTCAATTAAGCAGAATGCTAATGGGTACTGAGAGAAATATTAATTTGTTCTTGGAATGGTCCTCTTCGGGATTTTAATGCAATTTGTTATCTGCAACCATTTCTCCAACGTAAATTGTGTTGCCAGGAACTTTGTATATTTCATGCTACGTGACAAGATTTTCTTAAGTAAATGACAATAGTAAGAAGAGAAATGAAATTATTTTATTTTTATTCTAAGTAAAGGAGATGAATTTTTTAATTATTGTGATTAAAATACTTACCGTCTTATCAGCAAACACTGTTAGTCTTTAAAAACAACAGCATGTTACTACCTACTTATAACAGAATAGAATTTGGAAATCAATAAACCTAATGTTGTGGACCAAGGTGGAGTCCTGTCTAGAACATTCATGACTTTTATAGCGACAATAAATATAAAAATGGTGCGACCAGTGCGACCACTTTATTTCCGTGTTTAAAATTCTTGGAAAAATCGTGAATAAAACGTGGTACCATCTCTAATGTTCGATTGTGTCGGATATTTTCCGCCCGGATACTTCCCGCGGCTCTATCCCACTGGCATCTACTTACTTTGTATTCAATACCTACTATAAAAATGGCTTCCACTTTGGTGTTTGGTAACTTGTAACAATTACCTTTTTCTAAGAATTGGTTTCATTTACGTCCTATGTAATTTATCATATCTTATGTAATGTAAAATAATTTTAGGTATTGTAACGAATGTGAAATTGTAATAAAATAATAATTTGAATTAGCTTTCCGCCTACGGTTTCACCCGGCTAGTAATTTTTGTAGAGTAGGTCTCGATACAGTTGGAAAATCTGAATGAAATTGAACGGAATATGGCACGACGTGCTCATCGTAGACCGCATCATCGCTTACTACCGAGGCGAGATATTGGTCAAACGTCAGTCCATGAAACATAAAAACAATTTTTTGAAATATTTTTTCAAATTGGTCTATTAAGTTCAAGACCGATTCATTCAATTTAATTTAATTATATCTTTTTCTAATGACTATATTTTAAAAGCCGTGTCTGTTTGTCTGCAGGAGCGATCCCGATGGTGACGGCGACAGTGTACTGTGCGCCTGCGCCGCTGCGGTACCTCGCACTCGCAGTCTACAGCCTCGGCAGTCTCATCGGACTCTATAAGGTAACAATAAGATAATTATCACCTTTTTTGAGACTATCTTGACAAGTTTTGGGTTCAAAAGCATAATCAATCATTGTCAGTTTAGTTTTTCGATTGAACTAAAGATTGATTTGCGTACATTTTTCAGTGTTATTACTTACATTTGAAATTCTTCACACCTTGTTTGCGTGTGGACACCTACATTATGTTAATGGGTACTACATATATTTACTGTTTTTCATTCAGGCGATGCGCGCATGGTCTCCATGGGAGCGACGGCTGTGCTTCGCAGCTCCATTCTGCATGCGCGTGCTGCTGGCCGGCGCGCGCGCAGCCCGGCTCGGGGGCGGCGACCCGCACGCTATACTGCACGTGTTTTTGCAGGTACAATACATCAAACCCTGTAAATATTGAATAGAATTAAATTAGAGACATTAAATTGTGACTTATCTATGTAAAAATTCGGGCCAAGAGACACCCATTTAAAAATACATTGCACACCGCAACAAAATTTTAAAAGTCTACTGTACTAATAGGTATCTAGTTTATATTTATTGAACCATTGACGAAAATAGAAAGTTCTAATGGGCGCTTTAACAACTAATATCCATCTTAAGTATCTTATATTCCTAGACACATACCACAAAAACTCAATTAGAGTCGTTGTAAAACATTTTCTAATTATCTCCTTAATTTTGAAACGTTCGTCTATTTGCAAGATTGCAAGGGCACTCCTCCCAATAACTCGCATTTCCAATCAGCCGTAAAATGTCTTGGCCGCTGATGTAGAGTGCAATTACCAGGAACACAGCTTGGTAGGTATGCTTCCAGATCTGGCACATGTCCAGATGGCTGCTGCTGACACTTGAGATTTATCGTCCACTTTACCCCGCCTGTGACGTCACACAGATGTTACTTAAGACACCGGCACATCAAGTTATCCTAAAGCTACCTTTGTCTAACCTAATAGATTGAAAAGATTTACAACATTGAAAATACAGTGGGACAAGTGGAGGACAGAAAAAAGAAAAAGTATATTCAACTGACAGATCAATTTCAATCAGGTGCGGTGGTGAACCGACCGGTGGTTACTGACTATATTCTTACCTGCCTGTATACTAAATGACTAAGATACTTGACATTCCTTTGTACAGATTACTTTATTATATTGTAATAAAGTCGAAAGTCTATTAAAGTAAAAGTTTGGAATAGATTAATGTGCTCTAGTATCTGTACTCTTCAGTCAGTCTATGATGTACATACATACATATTTATATGTGCCAACATTATGAGGGATATGTTAGACTTATCCGCGTCGGTTGATAGATTGATGCTCATAATGCGTGGAGCAGCTGGGGCTCTCGCCAATTGTGCCACATATTGCCAGAATTGCAAACTAAAAGCAAAGTTTGTTTTTAAGTTTTTTAATATATATTGTAATTGAATCTTCACTGAAATCCGGAATTAGAACATAAGTAAAGTTCGCTATAATGAAAAAAGTATTATAATGCCCTGTAATTCTCCGGAACAAACAAGCAAGCAAAAAAAAGTACATTTAATAGGGTAGATGCCTAATTTTTATTTTAATGTCCGTCTGGTAGATTATTTCAAATCATTAGACACGTATTTTTTATTTTCTTACAGAAACGAATACTATCGACGATATATTGATTTTAAATGTCGCGTGACGTCACTTTTATGTACATTTTATGCGTAGAAATAACGTTTTAGCCACCACTCCTAAACTTTGATTCGATATATCTAAGTATTGTTTTATTATTCGACAAAATACAAAATACGTGTCTAATATTTTTTCATTACCTAACTGACAGACTAATTAGATTTTAAATTTTCATACCCTGTCATCATCCCTATTGCGTTTGATATTACAAATTAATCATACAACCTTTGTACAAATAACAAATAAACCAAACAAGAGAACTAAAATCTGCTGCTAATTTCAGTCGTGTTGTAAGGACGCGGGGACATCGCAATAAATGTCAGACACTCAGACATAAACGTAGCTAGAGCTCGGTTCGCAGTAATATAACAAACTCTAGACGTACGACAAATAATTCGCTTTTATTCTTTACTTTGGAACGTCATTCATTGTAACAAACGAGTAATGAACCTTGTACTGTCAACAGTAAATACAAAAACATACATAGCTTAAATTATGTGCCTCATGTTATATCGAAGAAAAGTAATACTAGCGTGTGTTCGTAAAGCTTTAACAACGTTTAAGCTGAGACTATTTAAACTCGATTACTTTACCTATATTCTCATACTCATTAACCAAGTGGTCGTAAGTACGATTCCCTATTTATTACTGGGTTTTAAAAAAAAAATCTCAGTAGTAGCACGGTGTCTGGAATTGTGCCCGGTATATGGCAATAGGCTCACCCCCTATTACATGGGACTCATAACATAAATAGTGAAAAGTGGGTATCACATTGCACAGTGGCATAATGTGCACCTCTGCCTACCCCTTCGAGAATTAAATGCGTGATGTTATGTGGTTGACTAAGAGTTACTTAATTTGAACCCGTTCGGCGCTGTGATTGGTGGGTTTATTAGAGCCGGCCAATCAGAGCACCCGACGCATACTAAGCCCTCTTAAGTAATACAGCAATCCACCCTAGATCTCTGGACCTCAAAGACCGTACACAGAATTTTTCCTCCAACCTATCTTAACTCCAAAATCTAAACTCGATCAAACTTTTCAAATGTTTAAAGAAAGAATTTATGGGAACCCACCACAAAGGATGACAAAATATATGAAAGTAAACTAAACTGACGCTTTTGATAAGAAAAAGTACTATTTTGTGAATACTTATAGAAAATCTGAAAGGCCACAGACATTTGGTAGTTTGATGGGAACCTTATCTGTTGCAATAAGATGTGACGTAGTCTAGTCGCTAAGTTGACAAGAGCATGTTTTTCCGTTGTTTGTAACAATACTGCCACGTTGGCTCGTCGCAAGTGCGACTGCCGGGTAAGGGGTCTCGGGTTCGATTCCCGGGTCGGGCCAAGTATTACAAAAAATCTCAGTAGTAGCACGGAATCTGGAATTGTGCCCGGTATATGGCAATAGGCTCACCCCCTTTTACATGGGACTCATAACATAAATAGTGAAAAGTGGGTAGTACATTGTACAGTGGCATTAAGCGCCGTAATGTGCACCTCTGTCTACCCCTTCGGGAATAAAAACGCGTGATGTTATGTATGTGTTTATGTGTAACAATATTATAATTTTCTATTGATTTCCATTACAAGCAGGAAACAAACGATCAATCAATTTTAGTCATGTTTATTCAATACTTTTAACGTTTCCAATTAAAAACTTATAACAAACAAAGATATCATCAATATGTTGCCGTCTACTGCTGGATATACGCCTCTCCAATGTTACGTCACTGAGCTCGATCTTCAGTCCTTCAAAATTTCAAATCCATCCACCGGCAGCCATTTTGCAGATATCGTCACTCCACTTGAACCTATGCATTTTATAATTCTTGGTAACAGCATCTATTTTTCCGACATCATTATTATTGTTGTAAAAAGTAAAAAAGTACTCTTCCTACAGTCTGGTATATAATACAGATTTTCACCTTCAAGCAAAAATTCTACTACAAAGAATATCGGTGACTTTTCTTCTTTACGAAAGTCTTGTCTGTACGTTGATCAAACAGTAATAAAACAAAAGCACTGAATAATGAGATTCTGGTACAATAATAAAATGGCGATAGCTCGTCATTTCGTCTCTTTGTTCGCAATTACACATTTTACGGACACCGTAACTATGTAACTGTGTACTAATGGACTGTTATGTACCTTTAACACTACTCTTAACTGATATTTATTATTTATGAACTCCTAGACTATGCTATAGAGTCGCGGAGAACCTAACGGGTAACCGGGGCTCCGGCTCGACGTGCAGGAGAAGGAACGGGGTGGTTTTTAGTCAGTAAGAGTCTGACACTCCCTTCCGCCTCACTCAGGCGGGAGCAGTCATTCGAAGATTTTCCCCCCTTAAAAAAAAAAAAAAAGACTATGCTATAGAACCGCGGAGACCGTAAATGGTTACCGGGGCTCCGGCTCAAAGTACAGGAGTAGGAAAGGGGTGGTTTTTAGTCAGTAAGATACTGACACTCCCTCTGGCCTCACCAAGGCGGGAGAAGTCATTCGATAATTTTCTCCCCTTAAAAAACGATATTCTGTAAGATGTCAATTCTAACTCTGGAAATGAACTCGATCGCGATCCGATAACATCACCATTCATTGGTTGAGCAGTCATTGGTTGTGACAATAATCTCGACCATCGACGAGCGAGAATGCGATCGAGCTCACTTTAAAAGTTCGAATTGGCTTCTTACAGAATAGCCTTTTTAAACCTGGCCTATAGCCTGGCATGATTCATTTCATATACTTTCAGTTTAATGATTCCATATTCCATTATAACTGATATCTTTCAACAACTTGCAATCAAGAACAAAAGATGGTTTATTGTTGGTAAAAGAGAAAGGAGGACAGGGTGCTAGGTAATGATAAAAAAAAATTAACTTGTCAGACATTAAACAAAAACTAAGATGCATGTTACTCCAAAACATTTCAATTTAGACTCACGCGGCGTCAATCTCTTTAAAAAAAAGCTATTGTCTTTATTTAAATTAAGTAATAACGCAACGCTGTCATTTAGTTTCTAGTTAATAGGATTTACCCAATACCCTATTTAAAAAAGTGTAAATGTTGCACCTTTTGCGATTGTAATCAGTATTACCACACACACCTCGAGGGCACACCTGACTGCGCATCTTTCTAATCCAATTTCCTGCTTAAAATGGGCAGTTGTGAAATCCTATCTGATATATCTAGTTATATTAAGGTTATACGCAGATGCAACTACTCTTTATCTAGTTTTAATAAGTTCCTATCTGTATTATACACCCTGTCCAGTAGTTACATTAATTTAATGTTTTTCATACAATTTGAATACACATGTGTATTATATACAAAAAAAAACAGATATAAATTACATAACAACATCTAAAAACCCGTTCACTATAACTTTTCACATTCTTTCTAACAACAAAAACCAACAAGTATTGAATAAGTAGAATCAATACGCTCCACAATAACCTTTGCCTATAAACCGGGGTTCCAGTGGCACACAAAATAATGATTATTGTGAAGTTACATAGTTGCATGGCCCGTGTTACAACCCTCCACCCTCCATGGCTTGCTATACGGACACAATGGGGCTGGAAACCTGCCAAATAACGTCGGTCCCGTACTCCGAAACCAATAGAAATGAGGCTTAGCTAAATAATCGCTCATCAGATACGAGTTTCAGACGTTGTGCCCTTTGTTTTATTTTAAGTAGTGTAGTTTAATAAATTTTAGTTTTAAGTGCTATTGAGTGGTTTTTGTTATGTGCAATTAACTTCGACAAAATAAAGACATACTGACTTATTAATCTTTCGTTTTAAAAGTGAATCTTCCATGACCATACATACCTACGTAGGGACTAACTTTTGATTAGTTATGTATTAAGAAACTAATCTGTCGATAAATATATAACTTTCAATAAAAGTTCTCCAACTACAACTTAGATAAGGGTTTGCTTAAAGTTAATTGAAAGGTCGTAACTCGTAAGTGATTAATCGGTTAAGAAACAAATAGACCTTACTTACTTTTAGATTTACGAAGTAAGCGTTTTTACTCGGCTTAGAATTAAGCAAAAACGAAAACGAGCAATAGAAATCCGTAATATATTATTAGTTTGTGTGTGCGTACTAATGTGCCCTAACGGAATACAGTAAATATAATATTTTGTGGACATTACGTAACACATTATGTTCCCGTGGGTAATGGATGCCGTGCGCTGCCGTGTGGGGAGATGGATGGCGTACTATTTCTGTAAACATTGTTTTAATAAATCATTAGATTCTGATATTGTTTTTCTACGAGCTTCATTTCTACTTGATTTTTTATGAGGACTTCTGGATTTTTGGTGTGGTATAGGTTTCTATATGCCCATCTGGGCAAAGTAATACAACTTCTCAAACTTTCTGTAATAATAAGAAATCTAAAAATTGTATTCATTGGTACCTTTGTAAACGATTACTAGTGCAATTATCACTAGCATATTACAGTGATTTAACACCATGTTAAATCACAGAGATAGTGGTCTAACGTCTCAGGCCATCCAATATAAAAAATAACTGGTACTCAAGAGCTTAATTACTATATTCCCAATGTTAGTCACTGCCTGGCTAATGAGAAAAAACACCTTAGAAGAATTTCCACAGATAAGTTAAAAGGCATCTTCCTTGAGGTTATGTTTCTCAATTTACCTTATCACGCGTAACATGTACATTTAAATAAACGTTACCCACAAATGTAGCGATTTGGGTTTTTTTTAAAGTGAGTCATATAGCTACATCGTCGGGCCTTATTATCCTTTATATTATGGTTATCATTAATAGGGTAGATGACTAATTTTTATTTTAATGTCCGCCTGGTAGATTATTTTAAATCATCAGACACGTATTTTTTATTTTCTTACAGAAACGTATAATTTCGAAAATACATTGATTTGAAATATCGCGTGACGTCACTTCTATGTATATTTTATACGTAGAAATGACGTTTTAGCCCCCACTCCTAACTTTGATTCGTTATATCTAAGTATCATTTTATAATACAACAAAATAAAAAACTACGTGTCTAATATTTTTTCATTACCTAACTGACGGACTAATAACATTTTTAATTTTCATACAATGTCAACATACCTATTGAATGATTGCAAATGCGATTTCCACATGCGAGCCGTAGGTCCGGTTCCTTGCTGAAGCAGTGTCACAATCACAATGTTTGGATATTCTCAGTGATAGCACAGGGTCTGGTATTGCCTGATGTCCCACCTCTTGGTTAACCCTCCAAAAAGTGTTTACAGCATTTAATATGCGCACCTCTTATTTCCTTCGACACTTCTGTGTTACCCCAAATGTGGGAACTATTAAGTTACACTTCAATATATTTAAAAACGATTTAGTGAATAGTACGTCTATGTTATAGACTTGTATAAAACTCAAGCAAGATGTAGGTAAGGCTCAAGTCTCTTAGTATTTTTCCAGCGTACCTATATCCGTTGACCCCCTTGCAGCCGCTAGATTATTACGCTCTCTGGCTCTCAGCCAGCTCCATAATCCGTAACGAGTTTCTTGGCTTTAGTAATAAAACCAAGAGAGAAGATGAAATCGAAAATCTTCTGGTTATATTTAAAATACATATAAAACATAAGCTATGACTAAAACTCATAATTTCTATGGCACTACTGACGCCCTTTACCAACCCCACATATCATACAAGAATACCCAAAAGAAAATGTTGATGATAGACTCTTTTTACCTACACGTAAAGACGCAAAAAATAAACAAAAGGTCAAAACTAAAAAGTAAAAAATAACTATTATTAGGCATACGTTCTTATAGGTTACCCATCCACTGATAGGTGAGAAGTCGGTGCCACAAGTTTTAAACAAAATTTATTCTTTAAACCCGTAACAAATACCTTATTATTAATAATGTTAACCGTTGAGGAGTTCCATTAGCTATCATACTACTTCATCATCAGGCCCTTAATGACAATTACATCCCATCTATATGTAAAGATCTTCTCAATACAAATAATTGAAGCCCAAACACGGGGTCATTGATAAAAATTATTGAGGAGTTCCCTTGACTGTCTCTTGACTCTATCATCAGATCGCCTCGATATCATCGATGAAAAGTTTCCCTCGGTTTCCATGGGATCCCATCATCAGATCCTAACCTGATGGAAATGAGACCACACTGAGAGTATGACCATTCCAACAAAAAAATAATCATCAAAATCCGTCCACAAACGCCAGAGTAATCGGGTAACAAACACAAAAAAAAACATGCAGCCGAATTGATAACCTTCCTCCTACTTTTTTGGAAAGTCGGTTAAAAACTAGGCAGTAGTAACATAACATAACATCACGCCTTTTATCCCCGAAGGGATAGGCAGAGGTGCACATTAGATATACTACTGTACAATGTAACACCCACTTTTCACTATTTATGTTATGAGTCCCATGTAATAAGAGGTGAGCCTATTGCCATATACAAGGGCACAATTCCAGACTCCGTGCTACTACTGAGAATATTTAAAAAAAACCCACTAATACTTTGCCCGACCCGGGAATCGAACCCAAGACCCCTTGCCCGGCAGTCGCAATTGCGACCACTCGGCCAACGAGGCAGTAGTAATATGACATAAATTTTCCATAAATAATAAACAAACAATCCCCTATGATGACAGCTCGGCTCAGGCTAATAGGATCAGTGTGCGTAAACCGATTACATAGCTCGTTAGGTCCAAATGAGACCTGCCCGACACTGCCCGACTTTGCCCGAGTGTGCCCGACTGTGCACGACACACAACCCTGCAGGGCTTCACTTATGAAGATGCACAATTAACTTACTCCGGCCCTCGGCTAACTAATATTAATGAAGTTAGAGGCATTACATCAAAGCCGTACTTTGTAGACGGAGGAATAATATTTGGTTCTACTTCATTTTGAATGAGAAGAGGGTTTCAGATAAAGCATCTAAACATGGACCTGCGAAGTAGAATGTTGTCGGTTATTTGCTCAATATGTACAACATATTTATTTTTATCGGTAGATGATCCATCCATCGATAACTAAAATATATCATATAGATTTTTTTTAAGGGGTGAAAATCATCGAATGACTGCTCCCGCCTGGGTGAGGCGGGAGGGAGTGTCAGACTCTTACTGACTAAACACCACCACGTTCCTTCTCCTGCACGTCGAGCCGGAGCCCCGGTAACCCGTTAGGTTCTCCGCGACATATCATATAGATAGATAGAAATAATCACGAAGAAAATTAAGCCATAAAACCCACTCTACACTAGCAAGCATTCGACTTTTTTGTAATATTAGTATTTTCTCCTGTGGCGTGTCGTGGGTGCATTTACAAATAGTTTTTCTGTGCGGAAATCAAAACTGCTGCATGTTGCGCGGTAGCCAATTGCCAACCATCGTTCCAACCTGCATTGTAAAGTAAAAGTAATGGTGTTTACTTTTAGTCTTAATACTTATCATAATTATTGTTAACAATGTTATTTGTTTGTTCAACTTTTTCCACTAATTTAATGAGGCACGTGGAGCGTGCTGGTGCATCAGATAAATCAAATTAAAAATATATTTTCCTAGAACTGACATCATACACACAGACGTCATATTATTATGTTATAGTAATTCTTCACGTATTACTGTTTTCCTTAAGGCAAATAGCATATTAAATATAAAAATGGATATAGATATAGTCGCCATTGTTTATTTATGTACAGGTACTATACATAATAACGATAAATAATAATGAACCTTAAAATAAATCAGATGGTTTAGACCAAAGATCTCGATTTGCGAGATGTGATAAGCATACAAGAAGTATGGAGTATCATGTCATATTAAACTGAAATCCTACACAAGTGCCTCTATCAGAAAACTCATGAAATTTTCGTAGTAGTATACTGAATGCCCCTTAAGTCTTATAAGAAGCCTGCCCTATCTTTGCACGGATTCTGTCTTACAACTTTCCCGGTGTATATCTTTCTCGAGAACAAAGAAATATTAAAATGTTCCAGTCACCCAGAGTTTTGCTATTAATTTTTACATAACATAGATTTTGGTACTTATAAACCATTTAAATATTGCAGGATGCAGTATCCCTGGGGGGCGGTGTGATCGGTGCCATGCATATACCGGAGAAATGGTTCCCAGGCACGGTGGACCGCTGCCTCAACTCGCACAACATCATGCACGTACTCGTCGTGCTCGCCGTCTATTCCATGCACCAGGTGAGCAAAGAGGACAACTACTTCTTTATCAGCCAGCATTATTCTTCTTCGATGATCGACGATTTCGTAGAAGAGTTTCCATTTAAGTTCATGATAACATTGATAGGAACCACATTTCAAAACAATTAATTTAACAAGTGAAATATAGAAATGTAATCTTAAATCGCTATAATCTGTTTCCAGGTGACAACGCGCGACATAGAATGGATGTCGCGCGTCGACTGCCGCGCACCGCTGCGCACTCTCTGACGCTCAGCGCACGCCTCGCCGCATCAACTCGCGTCCTTTGCCGCGCCAACCCGCGTCCACACATCGCCTCCGTCTACTCAACTTTACTCACTTCTAATCAACTCATGCACGCTAACTTAAGGCTTCCTAACTCGCTGTTCGGACTTGGACAACTATTATTTTAGAATCGTAAGACCAAAGGAGCCAACTATTGATTGATTACTCGAGAAATGAAGATATCCCGAACTCACTTTTATTATTTGAAAATTACTTATTACTTATTGGCTACAGTGACTGGAAACAATAACAACTAAAACACTGGCAAAACTGAACAAGGAACTACTTTTACAAGAAGCTAAATACATTGGTATAATATAATATTGTACCTACGCATAAATACTTTGTAAGCATAAATTAATCATCCGCTAATATTAATAATCTACAATGTGATGTCGATCCCAGTTTTTAACAAAATAAACGTCCGAAGCAATTTTTTTCATTTCAACTTATAGAACTTAGTTCGAAACAAATAATAATTAGGAAGTCTTAAAATCTCGTAAGTTGCAATGTAACACAGTTTTTATTGAATAAAAGTCAGTCTTCCGAACTCTTGCGTTAAGGTCGAGTTTAGAAAGATAAAGTATTAAGCGTGGTCCTCCAAATGTCTTCGTGAAACAATAATAAGTTATTTTCCATGAAGGAAAATAGTTCCAGGAGCACGTTAGGTTTAGATACTTGGACATCTGACAAGACGATTAGATGCCAAAATAAGATGTGCAAGAAATCTTCCTATTAATATAGTTATCATTTGGTCTTATGGAATCGGCTGTAGCTTAGTCAATAATGTAGTCCCTAATTAGCGTGATGCCACTGATGACGTTACGCTGGACTAGTGTCGGACATTCGTCTGCTAGCATATCTACACCTGCTATAACGATGCTCACATAATATATCTAAGCATGTATACAGGAGAGTTCTCTATTTTCAGGTAAAAGTCCCTATAATTTCTATGTGATGTCAACTATACAAATAGCAGTGCAATCTTTCTTACAAATATTGTTATTCGTAAAATGCTGATAATATCGCCTCATTAACAATGCACGTGCGTTAAAAAACAGTGAACACAAAGGACAAAAAAATCCTAATATTCATCCAGTTTATCTGGTACACTGCTCTAGAACATTATATGTTAATGTTGGAAACTGATTTATGAAGAAAGCATTATAATTTGTCATAGTTGACAGCACGGCCAATCTTTATTTAATCTTCATCATGCTTCGAACTAACTTTAAACGATACGTATTCAATAGCACGTATTTTGTATCGCAGTCAGATTTCGTGTCACTATAAGAACATTACTGCAATCAAAACAGTTTGTAATTTTCAAAGTGCCTTCTCAGAAAGCAAAACACGGCAGTTGCAATATGCCTTGCTAATCGATCCCAAAGTAAATTGAACCATGCAGTTTTATGTCATCTCCTTGGACAAAGGGGCTTCTAATACGGACCATATGGCAATTTTCAAATACATAAAACTTTTACCACACAAGAACAATCTGATAAAATGTACCAAGTGTTTTTTTTGTTGAAACTTCGTTATTAAAGCATCTGACTGTTTTACAAAATAAAGGAAAAGCAATCGTGTTACAAAACAACGTTGATAGCAGAATAAAGTCGTACTCGTTAATTGACAATATTGCGGCCTACACATAATATAGTATTAAATTAAAACGAGACGTCATTATGGTTGGAGACGGAGAGTACCCTAATGTACCACAAGATGGACGGAAACCATTTAACAATAACTAGGTAACTACACTAGATCAGTTATTAATAGTTATAATAATTAGTGCGATAAGTTATCGAACGTAACAGTTATTTTAATGAAACGAACACTTCAAAAATCTTAGTAAGCTTACGAGAATAGTTAAATTATTATATTGGATTATAACACGTTTTTTATAGACTAGGTTTAAGGAGTTGGATTTGCATACTCGCTTTTAAATTCGCGAAGATTGTGACTTTGCTGAGAGGTAGACGAGACAGGACAGGGTTGCTGAGAGTGGGGTGTAATATCAACATTAGCTTTAAATGAATTTCTCCACACGCTTAGTTTTCAAGAAGTAGCCATCTACACATTTAAGTGGTTCACTCCTGCTAGTCAATACTCACACTATGGTACTTTAGCGCGTTTGGCGAATGTTAAATATAACTCATTCGACTCTCAGTTACCCCCACACCGTTCTTTCAATCTAAATCTACTTTTTATGTATTTCTAACAAAATTCTACTTATCTATAATAAATATTTATAATACAAAATATTTAACTCACTTCTTTTCGTCCTTGAAAATGAAAATGTCAAAACAATTGTGCATTGAATATTTGCCAAAAATGTGATCAAGACTTAGCGGAATTTTATAGTTAAATTATAACATTATTATTATTGTATAGGTAATTTTCTCAACCTTGTGATTGTGCTTTTGGGTTTAGATATAATAAAAATTGTCGTGGACGCCAGTGACGTCTTAAAATACAGTTTAAAGTTGATATTCAACATTATTGACAATCATAAGTCAATGTTTTAAACATTTGGTCAATTTATTTGTTAAACATATCAAATTAGGAAAATTGAATTATTCATAAAAGGTCCTGAAACAAGACAAAAATTAAACACTCAAAAATCTGTTACTTAATAAAAATGTAACCATTGGAAACTATTGTTAAACTGTAAACCATTGATTTATTGAAATAAGTTTATAATAATGAGAATAGGATTCACTATCACAATTCTAATAACATTAACCTTGAAAAGTATTATTTTATTTGTTCTAAGATGAACTAAAATATGATTGCCAGATCTTTAAGTTCGTAACTAATTGGCTACATATTTCATAAAACAAAAATATCAGATAATAAATGACAGTATCTATATTTTAGTTATACACATAACGTGTATGTGTTTTTATTGGACAGAACTAGTCACATTTAATACGAATGAACATATAATTAATGAATCGTTATTTGTTGAGAACATCACTTTTGTTTAACCTGTCACCTTTACAGATAGTGAATCTCAGTCCACTTGTTTACAAACGATTTAATACAAGTGCCCTTTAAAACATGTTCTTAGTCGGACTTTTGTGGATTCCAAAATATGTTGTTTGAGGAAAAAGTAAATATCAAAAACTAAATTTGTGTTGAGGATAAAAGTTGAGTCTAGGCTACAGGAATTTGTAAATAGCTAGTTGTTATTTTGAATTATTAGTCCCTTTGATATTACTAACCTGGAAGTAAAAGTTGAACAATTATTGTCTATTGCTGAAACTTTTATATCTCTGCTAAATATTTGTATCTCCTTCATCTCGTCCCTGACTATGTAAGTATTGAGTTTTGTTGTTACTAGTAATCTCCTGTATCTATCGGTGACCAATTGTTGCTATATTTTTATATTCTCGGTGTTGTGTGCTTTGCCGCTTGTATACAAAGGCATCGCGAGTCAAGTTGAGATGTATTCTCTAACACGACCTCTCTTAGAGTCAGTTTGTTAGTTTAATGACCTAGTGTAAACGTAGCGACGGTAGTTAGGTAGTTTACGAGCAATAAATACACGACAATTGTTACGAAATTTGACAAAAGTAGTTGAGTAAATGTTCGACACGAAACGAATGCATACAATTTTTACACAATAAGTTATTGTTGATAAAAATGTTTAACGCATCTTTTTGATGGCTTTAATGTTCTACTTTTGTCAAAGTTCTTTGTTCTAATTAATTATTTATTAAACGAAGTAGTGTTTTAGACGAAACGAAGTGTACTTGAAGTTTTTTACTAGTGGTTGTCGACGAGACACTTCCGATGTCTCCTGAGCGTGTCCGAATGGCGACGGCGGTAGTTCCGCCTGCGTCTGCGCACCCTCGACAGACACACGTACCCTGCCATATTTTGCAACCGAATATAATGAGTACTTTAATTTATATTTTTGGAGTACGATATTTCAACTAGGCACATATTTACAATATCACAAAGTTTATTTTTCTGTGAAATTACAACAAAAACGACAAAAGAGTAGAAAAGACTTCACGAATATTTTTAAATGAATTGTTTTATACGGCTACTACACTCCATAGGCATAGGTCCATGAGTGACGCTAGGAGACAAGACTAATGATTGATACAATTACATCCGAAGAGTTTAAATTATTGGAAAATGGAGTGTATAGTTGTATAACAACAGAGGCATTATTTTATCTTAGCAATCAAATTAGTTTGTTGAATATTTGACATGTTAATATTAGGTACTTGTATAATTTGTAACTGTTTACTTGCCTAAATATCAATTATTTACACGAAATCATAATGACTATTGGAATCACGTTTTATGAATAGTTATTTAGGCGAGTTATGGCGTCAGCCGTTGAAATAACTATTTAAGGATTAATTAGGTGTACACTGTGAGTAATGGAGGCTGTGCTAAGGAGGTGACAGTCGGAGATAGTTGCACGTAGCTTTCCGAGGTGATAGGGAGTCGGAGTGACTGGGAGGAGAAGCTTTACATCCGTAGCTCCGCGAGTGGACAGTAGACAGCTGGGCACTCGTCACCCTGTGTTATTATTTATAAATAAATAATTTAGTAAATTAACGATGCAATAATTTATCACCCTCTAAATTAAGTTATTCAATAATTTAGTAGTCGTACCTATAGAGACGTTGGACATTCCTGATTTTGTAGGAAACTAAGAAAATAATGTCACGTTAATTTGTAAGAGTTATCGTCAGTAGGTGATACTAATGAGCAATATGACAGTATTTAATACTACATAACATAATTATTATGATTGTTTACGAGGTTACTTTGTGACAACGGACGTTGCGCGTATTTGCACTTATCTTGAAATTATTCATAGTAATTGATGATTATATTATTGGTCAAAATTCTCAAGCTGTAGACGTTGAAGAGATTATTAAAGTTTATTTGAATTCAATCCTTGTGTTTTATTATACAGATACACCCTAAGAAGCTACAAGTCGAGTAACGAAATGGCTACTAAAGCACTACGTATCGAGTTTGATTAGTCGGTTGCCAGGAAATCATTTATAATTGTTAATTAAACAATTTTATCCTCAATAAGGTAATAATAAAATTTGATAAAAACCAGCAGTACCTGCCTGGCAGTGCAGGATAGAGCGTCGTATCAGTGAGGCCAGGGTACTCATTGGCAAACTATCCTGCTTCAGGGAGGGCAATACTCGCCCTAGAGTGATGCGCTTTGTAAGACGTGCATTTGTGGGGACTGAAATCAGTCCTCATGAATACTTATCACGTGTTACAGAGCGCATCGACTTCCTGAAGCAGAAAGTTTATGCATGGGCAAACCGTATCAGAAGGTACAAAAAAAGAGTGGAGCGCTATACTCAGAATCGCATGTTCCAAAGAGATCAGAGGTGGGTATACAGAGATTGGGAACGATCCAACCAAGATGTGGCTGACGGGCGGCGACCGGATGATGATGCCACTAACACATTTTGGCGCAACATCTGGTCGGTACCTGTTAGCCACACAGAAGGTGACTGGATGTGTGATGTTAAGCGAAGGTGTGAGACTATACCAGAAATGGAGGAGGTAGAAATCACCTCCTCTGATGTAGCCAGTGCAGCCTGTTCGGTTCCGAATTGGAAATCACCGGGGCCGGACGGACTGCACAATTTCTGGATTAAATGGTTCAAGAGTTCACACGTTCGCTTAGCATTACACTTCCAGGCAGCTTTGGAAATTGGGTCGTTACCACAATTTCTAACAACAGGAGTTACCCACCTGCTCCATAAATCAGGTAGTTCCATTGAGCCCAAAAATTATAGACCAATCACATGTTTACCAACGGTCTATAAACTTCTTACATCCATTTTGAGGACAAAAATAACAAAACATATTGAACAAAATTCCATCATGTCTGTGTCTCAAAATGGATGTAGGGAGGGGTCTCGTGGAACTAAGGAGCTACTCCTCATTGATATGGTTGTTAGCCAACAGGTTCGTCGTCGGTCCCGAAAAGATTTGTCCACATGCTGGATAGACTATAAAAAAGCATATGATTCTGTGCCATATTCATGGCTCCTGAAGGTGCTGGAGTTGTATAAAATACATGCAAGTTTACGCGCTTCTTGGAGTCATGTATGAGGCAGTGGAGCACCGTGCTTTGCT